ATTGGATTCGAAGTCCTTAAAGTTCCACGATGATTGGGTAACTGCATCTACTGATGAAGATCATATAATATGCTCCAGAATATCTACTTAATCATTTTTTTTCTAAATCTTTTATTTTATGCAACAACACAATTAACAATCATAGAAACGTTACATAATCAGAGGTTCGGTCCTCTCACTCTCAGCTCTATTAACCATGCAAACCTCCCTTTGTTTAAGATTTGCAATCAAGCCGTTATCTTCATTCGTTCCATAGATATGATAAAAAACAGATAATCGTCTCGTGGCAGAAATCCCAGACCCAGATGTCTAATCATGTGATTTTTGGCCAAATCCCCACAGTTATCTGCCCAAAACTTCTCGTAAGTTTTTCAGACGTTCTGCTGACAAACCAAAGAAAACATTAACTCCTGCAGAAAGAAGTGAGCTGCTGGAGACGAGCGCTGATTACATCTCTACACATTGCTGACTTCTGGCTCGGTGAGGTTACAGGTGTTTCCAACAACAAAGTTTACAATCACATACACACCTCCCACCCACTGCCTCTAAACCACGACCCCCCCACTAAGAGAAACCAACATATAGACCCTAAAGAGCTGTGGTATGTACAGAGTGTGTGCTGCTGCTCACATTATCTGCATTCTGAATCTGCGCACGACATGCAAGAAGACACAGACATGTTTATTTTCTTCTCTTTCCGTCAATTTGCACATTTGTCTTTCACACCCACAAGTCTTCTCTTCACACACACATATAAATACACACACACCTCACTTTACAACATTTTCACTCTCACCCGCCCACGCATGCAAACACACGCACACACACACACACACACACACACACATCCCCCTTCCTTTTCCCTCCCTTGTCTCTAATCCCTGCAGCTGTTGCTCTTACTCACACTGCTGCCTCCTCCAGACAAAACCTCATCTGTGTGTATGTGTGTGTGTGTGTGAGAGAGAGAGGGGGGGAGAAAGAGAAAGAGAGACGGAGATACAGATAGGGAGAGCTAGATTCTGAATGAAGGAGGTGGGTGAGATCTGAATGAGAGGATGGGAGATGGAGAGGTGGGAGAAAAATTCCCCTCCAATTTTCCCCTGAGAGAGCCTCCGTCCTCCTTTTCTCCCAGACCCATTGTGTTCCCTCTTCACCTCCTTCCTCCGTCCATCCATCTCCACATCCTCGGCAAATATGCGCTCTGCTTTCGGATATCACAAATCTATCAGCCCCATCTGGCTTCATCATGGATGTCGAGTGGAGAGTTGGCTGTGTGCAAATAATAGCTAAATATATAACAGGGATATTATGTCTCTGAAAAGACGGCTGTGGTTTGGACGGAGTTCATTTCTGTCGTGTTCTAAGTGAACAGTCTGATAAAGTAGATTTGTTTCCAAATTAAGACACAGTGACACAGGAAATCTCTTTTTAATCGCTCTCTTTTCCATTTTGGTTTCTTTTCTCTGAAAAATGTTTTGTTTCTGGCTCAAAAACAGAACATAAAGCAATTGTTTTTTACTTTTTGCCATTCACAGCCACTACAGGTGCCAGTACACTGGCTGGAACTGCTTATTGGATGCTCGAACAGCTTGGGAAACCCCCCTCCACTCACACCTTTCCCACGTCGGAATCAGTTTTAATAACTTTCCAAAACCAACAATCTGACATTCACACCCACTTCACGCTGTGATTGGCCAGCTGTACAGAGGTGAGGAACCGCGTTCCGAACTTCAGCTTTCCTTTTTGATTTGTGACACAACCATTTCTGTCACTTTTAGTGTTTAAGTGCAACATTATGAATGCCGCCCAAGAGACAGTCTGAAAATGTACAACGTTATCCCGCATTGTCTCCTCCCTCTGTATGAAAGCACACGTTTTACCCCGCCTTGGAGTGTAGCCCCTATACACACTTTTCCCCTCCGATGTGGTCAGACAACATGTTGTCCAGACTAGATGCTGTTGTGTTGCATTATGGGAGATGTAGGATCCAGTGTTGTTGGAGCTTGACCCATACTTGGGACAAAGACTCAATTCACACCTGGTATTAACACATGATTTGTATCTGGATAAAATCAGTGTATATGCATGCAAAACGCATTGCAATTGGAATGCCAACAGATTAGCCAGACCACATCAGGAGGTAAAGAGAGAGAGAGTAGAACCCATACAGCAGCATCACTCTGGGAGACTCTCAGGGGAAGGCTGCGAGGTGTAAGCTGAGCTAGCACCAGTGCTAGTGAGCTTCTCCACTAGCTCAGATTAGCAAGGCTAACCATAGCCTATCTCCGTTTGTCATGTGACGGATTGCATTGCATTCGGTAGTGATCTTCGTGGTTTTGATCTCCATAGTGTCTTAAGCACCTCTGATTCCAGCTGGTAAAAATTACCTAAAACTTCTGTTTTCTGCCCCAGTTTTCTAGTGGTGAAGAAACTAAATGGCTTCCAGGCTCAGAATATCATTGCATAGTTTTCTTTCTCTATATAAATCTCATGCAGGTGCTGTCATTGTATCCACAGAGGTGCCATATAACCTAGTGTCATTTTAATGGACTATATCAAATATGCATGTCATATCCAGATGTCTGAATTCACACTTGCTATCTCACCATAGACCCTAAATTACACACACATCACTTTGTGCACATAGAGCGCACATGCAATGACACACTTTAATGTTAATTTCTCATCGACGGGATTTTAGGCTGGTTAACAAATACCCAGCGACCAGTCAGCTGACATGCTTGTAGGCCCTGGCCCTTAAAATTAGACTGTCAATGAGCACAGAGAAACTTTCCACTTTCAGCAGATGAATGTGAAAACATCCTTCTAGTGTCAAACTCTGCACTGACAGCATTCTGCACAGTGAACTCCAAACATCCAACTGTAGGAAGAAGAATAACAACATGTTTTTGAGTGGAGGGGGGCTTTAAATAGTCAATGAGTTCATTTCTTTTTCATTTTGTTTTTTTTATGAGCAAATGAGGTTTTATGTCCATTCAGTAATTTCCAGCACTGCTTTATGACTCTGTGGCTGTTATAAACAGTTGTAATGGGCTGGACAGAATGAACTGTCTTCGCTGCCTCCACGAAGCTTGTGTACATCACTGGCAGCATCATGTACACACTGATGTTTAGATGAAACCAGGGTTTATTTACATTCAAGTTAGGCCCTAACAACAAGCTGTTAAACACACTGAAAAATGACTGTTTGTGCAGACTGTGCACTCCTAATAGTGTGCTGTTGTTAGGGGCTGATTAATATCTGTTTTTATCACATTGGTCATCAGATCATACTGTTACACAACTGGTGCGCAAGCTGCTTTGCTTTAAAGTATTTTATTGTATGGCACATTGGAAGCTAGATTTGAGAATATCAACAATGTTTCCTCAGAGACAGCACTGACTTCATGATGTCAAAAAGTAAATCCTGGATACGCCTCATTAGACGTGTATGAACGAGTGTATGGCGGCTTTGTTGTCACGGCATCAGCACCCATGGGTGATTTTGGCCACATCCTCTGCTTCATAATTCACACTGTCAGTCAAATATTTACAGTGCAGCAGCTCTACTTTCCTGATGACTACGTAGGTGCTATAGGTTCAGAGCGAGTGTGTAGTGTGTTTGTGTGTGTGTGTGTGTGTGTGTGTGTGTGTGTGTCTGAGAGAGAGCTATACGGGTTCACTAGCAGTGATGAAAAAGACATGACCCGTGTTGGAAGGCTGCTGCCTGAGAGGCCAGAACCACACCACTTAACCTCTGCAACACACACACACGTATGCACACAGAGTCCTCGCCACATCCATTCACAGTAAAATCCCCCAACATATGGATGCTATAAATTCAAACAGACCTATAAATTCTTGAGCAACACATTTCAGTTTTTTTTTTCAGCAGAATTGTTCTGGCTCCTTTGGGTTTGATGCTGTTTTTTATAAGAAGTTTAAACCATAACTCTCTCCAAAAAAGACCAAAAAGACAGCTGGCATGTTAAATCGACCATGATATTGACGAGCCGTACACTCCAGGGGTTCAAACAGCTCTGTTGCATTTTCGATAAGAAGTGAGAAAGTGTGGGCTGAGTGACTGTGCTAGCACTTTTGCTAAAGAGCAAAAATAAGCTGGTCAAATTTTATTTTTTATGAATGATTATGTTCTTGTCGTTGCACTTGATTCTTTACTAATAACAATAATGAACTGCGCAGATGTTGTACCATAAGCTCAGTTGACAAGCGCCGCATTAAAAACCATCAGCACAACTTAATGTGGACATAAAAGCGATGAAAATAATAGTTCAAAATTCAAAACAATTCACATAGCCAAAGTTTTAGAGACATTTTAAGGCCCTGCTTCCTAGATTATGCAGTCTTTCAGCAACTGCTAATAAAACAAGATGACAAAACAATGTGTGTGTTGGGTAGGAAGTGAGCGAGTGAGTGAGTGCTGGGAGGCCGGGGAGTATTGCATGTCATCTAACACTAACATTCTTTAAGTAGGTCAAGTAGAGAAGTGATTCCCAGCCTTTTCCATAAACCTACTGATGTAATGCTGACCTACAAAACAGCAGCAGCTGCTGGGATCAGGGGTCTGGACCCCATCTTATCCCCTCCTTCCTCCTCCTCCTGCGTCTCCATCTCTTTGTCCTGCTGCTCCTTTTCTTTATTCAGCTTGAATTCATCCACATCATTACATCATTCTCTGTCAGTACTGCTGTCAACATAGTATTACCTTAATCCTAACATTAACTAAATAGTTTTGGTTGCCTAACCTATCCATAACCACAGCTGTTCACTTGTCTAAACTTTACCTGCATCGTTTCCCTGCAAACAAACATGGATTAGTTTGCCTTCATTATTTCTCTCATGCAGAGTGTGTTATTGGACTGGGCAGACTGTGTTGACTGAAGTTATTACCTTTAAAGGTGTGTGGAAAATCTTGATTTTTAGGTTTACATAACTGGGCCACACTGTTTACATCAGGGTTTCATTGCATTGGCTTGTAGAGGAAGTTCCCACCCCTTCATTTGATGGATGGACTGAGACACAGGTGTTCCAGGTGACGACAGCAACAGTGGACGCGCCGGGCAACAGGTGAGGAGCTTGATCTCTCTTAAAGCTGCATTAATAGATTGTTTTGCTCACTTCAGGGCTGATTAAAACACAATATGGACGTTGTCGAGCTGTAAAGTTCTTGTGGTGAACGTGCTGGCAAACGTTTGCCTGCTTACACATCCAGTAAAAACAGCACAGCTCTAGCATTTATCTGGAGTCGTGCTGTCGGCCACCTGGTGAATGTTAGTCCAGTATTCACTTTCCTTTAGCCCTGTTCTGGTCTGGTGAGAGTGAACCAAAACAGTAAAGTAAAACCAAAGCAAGGTTTTGAAAGATTAAAGCGCTCTGTACGCTTCTGAGTAGAGCTTTGATTCTCTGCACCAAACTGCTGCCTTAGGTCAGGCTCGGGTCAGGCTCAGACAGAGTTAGATTGAAAACTATATATGTAAGATTTTATTAATAATGCATGCAAGTGAATTTGTTATTGATTTGTTTTGATAATAGGTTTTGCACTATGGACAACGTAGTTTAGTCCGTTATAAACAATTTAAATTATTCATATATTTAAAGCAGAAATTCGGGCTCCCTCAGCTTTGGTTGGGTTGGACCTGACTTTTTGGGTTAGGGCTAGGGTTAGGGCCCGTTAGGGCCCGATCAAAGCTCTACTTCGGAGGCAAGTGGCAGGTTGTTTATTTATGCATCGAATGGACACAAAGCAACATAAGCATTAACTTGGAGTCATGTGTCTGGCCATACCATGAATGCAAGTACAATATCGACTCTCCTTCCTCTTCAGCTGCTAAATGCTCCACTAAGTTTATTAGCCGGTTTGCAGGCCAGAAAACCAAAACAATAAGGCTAAAAGAGGATAAAAAGCTTCATAGAGCTAAAGGGAACTGCAGATAAGTCTACATACAAATGACCCCTTTTACATTACACATATTTTAGCCATTTGATCCATTGTTGGTATAAAATGATTGAATAGCAGCTTTAATGTTGTGTGTCAGGCGGTACAGTCAACTCCCATGCTATGAAATCTCTCTCATCATTGTCCTCCAACAGTCAGGCCACTGTTAGTCCAGATGAGAGAAGAGAGGGGTTAAGGAATAGGGATACAAATGTTGATATAATTATCTGAATCACCTTCAGTTATTAACATGTGTTCAAAGCACACACTATTTCCTGGCTGTCCCCTCCTGCTTTTGGCCACACCACGTGAGTCAGTTTCACCACGCAGATTTTGGTCTGCAACAAAACAAGCAGCTGTGACTGATGGACTTTTTTTGCCCTGGGTTTCAACTCACAGAACTCAGCCTGCCCTGACTTAATGCTAGAGGTTGTTGGAGCAGTATGGAGACTGAAGGGAGTTATGTATTTCAAGTTACAGTCAATATTATCTGAAAAACAAGCTAGAATATAACTTCAGTCAAAGATAAGGCAGTAAAGCACAGGGCTCGTTGTAGTAAGGATGCAAATCAACCTCTATCAAGGAAACTGAACATGATTTTAACATTTATGTTATAAATAATTACATTACAGTACAGTACAGTACATCAGTTATGTCAGTTAAGTATGTAAGTTACTTCACCATATGTGACATATGATAAATAAGTTATACCAGGCTGATATTTGCAGAGCGATGGCCTGTTTTCAGTCTCTGATATTTCCATGTCATATTCTTGTATTTATGATTTTTCTGCATTCAGCATCACTTTGTTCTCTCAGAATGAATTGTTTTCTGCCAACATGGTTATCAGCTGTGAGGAACCTAAACCAGCTAATTGGTGTTTGGATGCTGGAGCATCATACGAGATAGACATTTGGACTTGAGACTTCACATGTTTCAATTTGATAAAATGATACATTTCTGTCAAAAATTAAGCCCTAGCCCAAATTTTTGGTTTTGACCAGTGAGCCAAATTATATTTGATAATTTTCCCAGAACATTTTTAAACAAATCAACACATGCAAGGCCACAGTTTTCAGCAGCTCTACACGACTGATTGACCGAAGCTGAAGTGTGAAAAGTAAACTTTCTTTTAATCAGATTTTATGAATATGCTGGTGTGTTCTTTTATTTCTTTCTAAAATTAGATTTAAAATGTGCTGTATATTGCCTTGTTTATAGTATTGCAATATAATGAATCGTAACCCCTGTATTGTTATGCATATCATATTGCCAAATTCTTGCCAATACACTGCCCTATTGTCTTAAGCTGGTGAGTGTGACCATACATTTCTTATTGTATCTGATTGGATTTACTGGAGTCCCATTGTCAACCTGTATCCAGAGCAGCAGCTCATCTGTGACTTAAATGATCAGACACTCTTGTTACTATGAAAAATGAGTGTACATGTAGTGAATTACTGTATGAAGGTCATTATGGTGTATGGGGAATTTTGTGATTGACAAGACGGCCTATTGTGTGTGAATTGTTCTGAACGATCGGGGCGTCGGTATCTTGTGTTTCTTTTCCTGACAGTGGGACTGATTAGTGAGGCTTAGCAGACAAGGCTGGTAACCAAAACAGAGGAGGGGAGGTGGAAATACACAACACAGCAGCGCACTCACTCACTAATCACTCCGTACAAGCATCACACCCACATCTGGAGTCATCTTTCCATGTCTGTGAGTGAGAGACAAGTGCGAACAGGAGTTTAGTCAGAGAGACTGACAGAAAAGGTCTATGACGGTTTGTGTGTGTGATAAGGACAAAGATTATTGTGTCTGTGATGTGTTGAGGTTGCACGGAGGTCAGAGGCGTTGCTGGTTTGATTCCTGCAAATGACGTTGGCAAAAGTGACATCTAACGTCAAAGTGCAAATCCGTGTGAGTGCGTATAGATATGTTGCTACCCACCCCTCCAGAGGGACCTCGCCCTTGTATTCAGTCATTTTAATGACAAACACATTCTCAGCTTTTGGAGACACACACACTTTCATTCTCTTTTTCAATACACACATTCATATTCACACGCATGCACGTGGACACACACACTCCTTATGTTTGCCATGCATTTGACAGTGATGCACGGCATTGTTTTATTTGGCCAAAATGAGACTCAGATGTGTTGAAGAAGTCTGATAAACAACCTGCAGCGAGCCAGCCGCTTCATCAGCCTGCATTACACAGAATCAGCGGAAAAGCCTGCAGATCTGACCTATTGTTTTAAATTAAGGCAAGGATTTTTATTAAAATATTTCCAAATGAGACTTGAGTGTCTTACTGTGAGACCCAGGATTACATTTTTCTAGTTTGTGTTCTGGTGGGACATGCCAGAAGCAGGCCTGCAACCTGTTTTGGGTCCGTAACCCCAGTTTAAGAAACCTGGGAGGGGAACAAAGTCAGACCAACAACTGATTCTCATCATATAAGCTGATGTAGCTCTGCATTCTGCATCTCCACCCCGATGTTAGTGATTTTGACTCATCAACCATCATTTTCTTTGGAGGCTGTCAGAGAAACCTCCACAGAGAGAAAAAAAGGTTCAGCTTTAATTAGTGTTCAGTGCTTTTTTTTCAACTGGACTGTAAAGCTATAAATTAGAAGTGTTGATGTCATTAAAAAAATAGATGTTGTTGGATGGTTTTCATTCCCAGCTCATATGGCTATTCAATACCCTCCATACTTAACTTGTCACAAGAGAGCTTGCATAAATAAGGGCCCAGTCAGTTGAACACAAAGTGATCTGTCATAATCTTAAACACCAAACCAAACCATACTCAGTCTTTCTCTATTTTAAGTAAAAAAAGACGTTTCACTGCTTTGCAATTAAATCTGTACTGTATCATAGTGCTGTTACAGTAATATTTATAGACTTTAAACTCTTTTGGCAACAACAGTGAATGTCTGGCACGTCCACCCTACTTGAACAAGAGTGGACTTTAAAGACATTTGCAGCTGAATAGTATTGTTATATGGTGTCTCTGTCTCTCTCATTTGCACTCAGTCTTGACTTGGGTTCAAAGCTCTTCGCACTCGGTCTGGCCTAGTCCTGTACTTGGACTCCACAAAGGTGGTCTTCTTGACTACACCAGCTGTTCTTCCTGTTTAGTGCTAATTAGAAATTGTTAGCATTCTAACAAGCAAATACACGATTGTGAGCATGGTAAACACTATCCCTGCTAAACATCAGCATGTTAGCATTGTCATTGTGTGCATGTTACCACGCTGTTAGCATTTACCTCAGAGCAACACTGCACCTAAGTGACGCCTCACTGAGCGTCTACCATCGCTGCAGACTCCTGGTCCGAATAGCTACCACGTTATCTTTGTGGATAAAAGTAACCATACCTTAACTATAGATATGTAAGATCAGAAAACATATGAATCTGTTTTTTTTTTTTTTAAGTTTTGAGAGGAACGGACACTCATTCGTATGGTTTAGAGGGAAATAACTTACAATGGGTTTTGGCGTTTAATTGGTTTGCATTATTGAATCTAGTACAACTGGGTGATTTGATATGCAGGCTTCTCCAGCTGATGGTCTCTCTCTACTTTGCATCCTGTTTAATCTAGTTGTCTTCTTCTGTTCTGTAGCACTACTAGTGGTCAAAAACTTGACCTACTCTTAAACCAGATTAAGAGAAAATGGGAAGAGAGTTTATTGGATCCAACAGAAGCAACAAAAGTTGATGTGGCACAATTTGATGCTTTTGTAGTTTTAAATTACTCTAAAAGACAATACAGTTTGTACATTAGTAGAAATATGTTGCTACATCAGTTAATTGCTAATGGCACCACTGAGCACCTGACTTTCAGTGTTTCAGTGTTCCAGCTTTACTTCCACCACAGAATAAGCAGAAATCTCAGGAATTGAAGAGCTATGGTATTGATCAACAACCCTATCAACCCCCCACAGATTATTACAGTCAGTTTTTGTGCAAGCAGCTTGTTCCGTTCAACAACTGCTTAATCAGTTCCTCCCTATGCACTCACACACATACGCACACACACAAAGGTTGACCCGGGGGGGAGGAAATTGAATTAGCAGGGTGTAATGCAGCTCCTTGTGTGTGTAATCAGAGCGGGCTCAGAATACAGAGCCATTGTAAGTCACTGTGGTCGGAGCCGGAGAGCCAGCGACCGCTGGGGGAAGCTGCCCTTATCACTAGATATGATTACAGCTGGGGGAATGTGTGTGTGTGTGTGTGGGTGGTGGTGAGATTTGTGTGGGAGTCATGGCTGACTGATTGCATGGGGAATGTACGTCTACATGCTTGTGATTGTGCATCAGTGAGTATGAGAGTCATTTCTAAAAAAATATTTGAAATGGTGATGAAGTTTTTGTGCATACAAAAATAACACCAACATTTCTGACATTCATCGCCACTAACCCCTCAGATCTTTCTGGATTTGGCATTTCTATATCCTGTGGTAACAACAACAACAACAATAACAACAACTATCATTGTTGGGCGCAGGCTGCAGGCTGTGTTTTCCACGGTGCATGTCATTGTTTTTCACTGTCTGTTCATTATTTTTGAGCTGGTATTTTGCCTCCTCCTGATATAGTGTTTCCTGCTATTGTCTTTTTCTACCAGGCTGGCTGACTCTGGACTTGAGCCAGCCAGTCCCTCCTACCTTAAAAATACACACACACACACACACACACACACACACACACACACACACACACACACACTACAATACACAGACACAGACACACACACACACACACACACACACACACACACACACACACACACACACACACAGACACTGCTCTCCCTTCCTCCTCTTGGCACTTGAGAGAAAACACAAGAAGTCAGTGATACGGCAAACCAACTGTGTATGTGTGTGTGTGTATGAGAGGGAGGGAGAGTGTCCGCCAGTCAGTTCAGAGGGGTTAATCTCTCTCTCTCTCTGTCTCTGTCTCTTTCTCTGCCTCTCTCTCTCTCTCTCTCTCTCTCTCTCTCTCTCTCTCTCTCTCTACCTCGATCTCTCCCTCCCTCCCTCTGTTGCCTTTTGTTGCGGCCCCTCACTTTCTCAACACTTGGACAGAGGGAACTGATACTGTGCCTGTGTGTGTGTGTGTGTGTGTGTGTGTGTAGTTTGGGTGTCCTTCTCACCACTCGCGATCTCTCTGGACTGAACTGTACGTGAACATGACTGACGGGACTTTCTAACACACTCCTCATGCTGAATGTTCACACCACAGACTGGTAAGGCAGCGCTCTGGTCGGGAAAGTTGTCTTATATTATATATATATTCATGCAGAGTGTGTTTGGGGTCGTAGAGGGATGAGTGTGTGGGAGAATGCCACTTTTGTGTGTGTGTGTGTGTGTGTGTGTGTGTGTGTGTGTGTGTGTGTGTGCATGAGGGAAATGCTTGTTTGGAATGCAACAGGTTATTTGTAAATGCGGGTTTTGTTTCCATATTTGTGTGAGCTCAAATTTCCAAAATATGGAGACATGTAAAGATGTGAAACGCTTCTCTGTCCCTGTCTTTCTCCTTTGCTCCGCTCCCCCATTCCCACTTCTTCCCCTTATCCCCCCTCTCCACCCGGCCCAAGTTACTCAAGTTACCGGCTTCCTCCTGTTGTTATGAGCCCCGTGGTTTCTATGCAGCACTCTGAGGGCGCTCCCACGCTCTCCCAAAGAGAAAGAAAGGAAGGAAAACAGCGATAACCATTTCAGAGCCACAAAAGAAGTGGGGAGAAGCATGCATGGTTTTGCCCCATGTCTCCCCTGGGCATCAACATGCACGCTTTTGTCCCTTTAATTCTAAGAAACTTGGAAAAATATCTCTGTCTTTTGCATGTCTGGTTGGCTATTTTTTGTTTTTTTGTTTTCTGGACAAAAGTTTTCTCTTTCCTTCTGAGGTGGTGGGGTGGCTGAGGTGGTGAGAAAATTGGAAACAGAACCACCCACAGTGGAAGTGAGTCAGCCCGGCATTTAGTGGTGTGTTGACTTTGGAAATGGCAGGGATTGGGGGTGGGGGGGTGGGGGTGCTGGTGCTGGGGGACAGATGAAATTGTCAGAAGAAAAGAGGAACAAACAGAAAGCGTCATATTTTCTGCTGAGGGTCTTAGAATCCCTGCAAAGTGGGAGCTGAGCTGCAGCAGGCATTAAATGAAAGAAGAAGAGATTGACAGAGAGGAGAGGGGAGGAGAGGTAAAGCCAGAGGCTGTTTATAAAGGGAGGGAGCGGCTTGTGTCCATCTGGGACAATCCCAAGTGCTGAAAGCTTCCCCACCCTGATCCCAAACATCTCTTTCCCCCCTCTCTCCCTCTGTCTTTCTCATTGTCTCTCTGTTGCTTCCTCACAATGAGGTGCATGTGGGTACATTTTGGTTGCAACCTGCAAAAAGCATTCAACTTGCTGCATATTTTCTTTTGACAGACACATGCTGCCTTACTGCCTTTCTTTATTTTCTTTTCCTGATAATCTTTGTCACTGTCTTTCCTCTTCTCTCCTTGCCTGCAGCTCATTTGTATCGAGTATGGGGATGCTCTTCTTTTCAGTGTAGACTATATTTTTATATAATATTTGTAGTATATTATGGCCTGCAACGTAATGCAAGATAAATCTGTATTTCTGTGTGATTTAAACTATAAACAGTCTCGCCTTAGCTGCTTTTTTTGTTCTCCCACATTCCTACTGACATGCAAAAGTGTTGATGGTGTCACACACCGGCAGAATAAAGTTCTGGGTAATTTGTATCATGGTTTGCATGGACAGCTAAGATGTAGGCCTATATGTTATAAGCTGTAGGCTTTAATGCATGTCAAATGCTATGTTTTCTCGCAGCTCAGTGGCTAATAAAGCAAGCTGTAGCCAAATGCAATTGTGGTCTACCAGAGTGAGAGGTGAAGTTAACCAAGCAGCTAAAAAGCCGAAAAAATCATTTACATAATCATTGCAAATGCACTACAAGAATACATTTTACACAGGTTCTCCTCCTCCTCCTCCTCCTCCTCCCCCCCTTCATCCTCCTTCTATTATCATTTACTACCAGAAACCCAAAAAAAAAAAACCCCACACACAAAACAACTTACACAGCCATATCTGGCTCGCTTGTGCTCTCCCTTTGTCTGGCCTGCTTGACCACTCTCCGTCTCCTTCTCCTCTTCCCCTTCCCTCCCTGCCTTCCTCCCTCCGCGCTGCCTGTGTATCCAGCGATAAGGGGACAGCGACGGTAGCACTTCCTCTCGCCACAGGAAGCAGGAAGTGTTGATTTCCAACACAGCCTCTCTGGGCAAACTCTGCGCTAGGTCCGCTGGGATTCTGATGCACACACACTCAAATTCAAACTGCACACACTCCAACATGCAGTGAAGTTGGGATATTGACATAGAAATGCATGAGTTCTGTGTGTGTCACCTGTTCTGCAGACAATGACTCCACTATATATTTTCCTGCCTGATGGTTTTCATGGGAAACCACCTGGGAAGCCGTCCACTCTGTGTCTGTTTGGCCTCAGGGTTGGCTTGCAGGTCAGGGGATGATTGGCTAATTATTCCTCTAATCACAGCAAATGTTTTGCTATCTCCCTCTTTGGCCACGCAGGCGGGGTGGCGCTGTCGAGCTTAAAAAAACACAAACAACCATTCATCAGCTAATGGATTCCAGTTATACTGCAGGGTGGGAGGGCTGGGTGTGAGTGAGAGAGAAAGAGGGAGGGAGGGAGGGAAGCTGACATAAAGAGAAAGTGGAGGAAGACAAAGAATAGGGCGTCTGAGGGCACCAAACGCTACCTGATGGATTTTATTTCTAAGCAAGAGCCTTACTCCCATTTGTAGTCAAATTAAGATTTTTATAATTGTGGTGGTGGTTTCCTTGTGTGTGATTTTCAATTTTTTTTTAGAGCCAAAGCAGTGACATCATCCCTTTTTTGAGAAATCTGCTGTTATAAATAAGTTCAGGAAACAAAACATTTAAAACAAGGCAGAACACACCAAAAGCACAGAGAAAAATTGCACATTATTCCGGAAAATGTTTCCAACAAATAATTTCAAGTTCATTGACAGATTTTCGTTCACTTCTTCCAAGATAGTATTAGGAGGGTATTCGATTTCAGCACATGACGCACACGAACTCCAGCATGTTCAGAAAAACAAGTGGATGGATCAGTGTTTAAAATAGAGGGATTTAGAAGAGAAACCTAAAAAAGCGGGAACTTTGAGACTATGAGAACAAGGACAAATAGAGTTTTCTGAACACAATTCTTTTCCAGTCTTTTTTAAGGCTGTGGCTTCTACATCAGTTTGACTTCTAACCTCTGTTTTTTTGTACAATACCATGAAACATTGCACATGTAACAGGTATCCATCCAGTTATCCATCTGGACCATACTCCACTTTATTGTATATAGTATATATATGTTTTATATATTATATTTTTAATCCATCTCTTTGCACAAAATGTCCACTGTGCTGCTGTGCCAAATCTGAATTTCCCCTACGTGGGATCAATAAAGTAACATCTTGTATGGTAGAAGAGGAGTCAGTGACAAGAAAACAGATCAAAACAGGTGAAAATAGTCACTGACCAACCGTACAATACATTTAAAGTTCATTCCTCTGAGTGTGATGTGATGATCTACACTTCACAGATGGTCAATGAACTGACTAAAGTCATTTAGGCCAGACTGGTCTTGCAGAATATACATAGGTCATTGGTGCATTAGTCACCTATTGCCAAAAGGTGAAGACAGCAAATATTTTTGTTTTTGTTTAAGCAAATTAACAGGATGAGAGTTTGCATAGTTTCCAATACGGTGAGCTTTAATTTGCCTTCAAATACCAGTCCCCCACCTTATTTCATTATCATGAAAATCAAATCAATCTGGAAGCACTGGAAGCAGGGCTGCTGCTAAGAATTATTTTCATAATCAATTAATTATTTTATTAGACTTGTTTAGTCTATAAAACATCAGAAAATAGTGGAAAATACCACAAAAAGTAATGTGTCAAATGTTTTGTTTAGTACAACTAAAACCATAAAGACTTTCTTTTCTTTTCAGAAGAACTAGACTTTATGACTAGTTTTTAAATTGAACGACAGCATTCCTGACTAAGTTTGCATTTTATGTAGGCTAATGGTTATTGCTGCATGTATTGCCTGTGGTTTTGTAGTGGTGGCTGTTAGTTAAATATGAGGAGGGAGAAGAAGGCTGGCAAGAGATTGAGTGGGAGCAGAGAAAGGAACAAAGAGGAAAAGGAAGAAGGGAATATTCAAGTGACACCTGTGAGTGTGACAGAGGAGTTAGGAAGGAGACAAAGCAAAGCAAAACTGCAAGAATATGAAGAGATTTGGGGCGATTAGGAAACGTTGGAGATGTGAGCCTAAACTATGAGCAGGTCAGGGGTCAAGAGGGGCGAAGAGGTCAGAGTGGGCCCAGCAGCTCTACTTAGAACAGGATATCCTGCGAGGAAAACCCATCTGTCTCTCTCTCTCTCTCTCTCTCTCTCTCTCTCTCTCTCTCTCTCTCTCTCTCTCTCTCTCTCTCTCTCGTTCTGTGTCTTAAATTCCCACAGAGGGCACAGCGGAGAGGAGAGGTGTAACCTTTCACTGAAAACACCAGAGAAAACACAAGTTCCCAACTGAGGGGCTTCACTTGCATCCATCATCGGTGACAAAGACAGATAGCAAGATATGCACGCCTGATGTGTCTTGCGCTGACAAACTGAGAGTGTATGAAGTGTTTTATGGTGTGATGATAACGGTGTGATGTTCCCATCCTGTGCTGATGTTTGTTGCTGTTTTCATCCACTCACTGCAGTGGCTACAACAGCCAAGATAAATTTCCCTGCAGGGACAATAAAGTTTATCTTACTGTATCTTATCTTAGCCAGGCAGACAGTGTGTAAAACAATTATGAAACATCCCCGTTTTATTTTAAATATACTAAGGGATATATCAGCATGCTGGACCCTGGTAAATGCTGCCATCCAGTTGTGGTATTGAAAATTGTATGTCTTTTGTGAGATACTGAATGCTACAATTAGCATTATCCTAGAATGATGTTGCATGTGGTTCAGGTTCAGGTTGCCTAAAAGTTTCAGAGCCTCTGGTGTAAGCCTCTCTTCTTTATTGCAAGGTACTAAATCCCTGCCTACACTATGGTCGAACCTAATCCCCGCCTTACCTGTGTTAGGGTTAGGGGTTATTATCATTATCAAATAGATCAGTTTTTTATTAGATGTGTTTGTGTCCTGTG